CTTTTTAATCGATGACAGACTTTGCTCAGGAAGCAGTTAAAACACATAATCTCTTGCCTACTGAGAGAGGAAGGAAAGAAGATTCAATTAATTAGTCCAGACTTCCCACTGAGGGGTTACTGATGAGCAACTTAAAACCTTGGAAGAGCCTATAGGACATCAGCATCCTCCCTTTACAGCATTTGTCCAATGGTGAAAGATTCTGATGTTATCTTCAACAGTTAGACAAACAGCCAGCAAGGCCAGTGGCAACCTCACCAATGAGCCAGGAGTTGGAAAGTAAGCAACACCCAAATTCCTACCACCTCTTTCTAAACTGTTGAGCACCTACCATACTTCAGAACTTCACACACATTGTCATTTTATCCCTATACCACTGTATGAGTAAGATGGTACTCTCATTTCCCAGAGAAGACCATGGTACAACATTTAAGGATCTGTCCCAAAGTTCTATGGCTAATCAGTGGCAAAGCTGTGATTATCCAGCCCTTCAACAAATATTTGTAGATTATCTTTTATGTGCCAGGACTAGAGATAGCAGTGAACCAATCAGGTAAGATTCCTGCCTTTCAGGAATTTACATTTAATAGGAATGAAGATCCATGGTTAGAGCCTATGCTGAAAACACCTCAAATTTTCCCAAATGACAACCTATGGGAGATGAAATGGGAAACTGACAGAAATATATTGGAGCAGTTAACGGCAACCATAGCCGCCACAAATATTTATTGAACATTTCCTAGGTACACATTTTATAGGCTCTAGTAACAACTGGGAAGGAAATAGACACAACCCCTGTGCTCATAGAACTTTCCAAAAATGTTGGCAAACTTCATTTTTGCTTTACAAGGCCAGGCAGGTAATGTAAAGGATTAAAATGGCTACACACTATATTCTTTCAACACAGATATGCTGTATCATACTGTCTGCTTTGTCAAAGAAATATGCTTTTGTTCTTAAAATGCAAGGCTTTTCTTGGTCTATCTTTTGTTTTCCTAATTTTGTTGGACACATTCTATCTCATTTTCCTCTTTGCTGTGGGTAAAACAGCACACACATATGGTGATGAAAGGCAGCTGACACTTGGCCTCAGCCTCATAGAGTAAGAGAGAGATAATGGCTTTGTGACAAACTGGAGAGGCTGCTGCTCCTTCTGAGGTGGTGCAGTTGGTACCCAATCCAGATGGTTTTACCATCCAGGACCGGGAGATTTGTGTTGCCACAGAAAATGTAAGCCATAAGTGAATGGTGAGTTGGTTAATTTGAGTTCTCTCAGAACAGGTGAACATAAGACAAAAAGAAGGAGAAAATCTGAGCGGGTGGGTGTTTACAGGCAGGAATTATCTGAGCATGTTCTCTTTCCCTGGAATCCTCCAAAGATGGCTCTGGGGCTATAGATTCTGGAAACTATTCATACCTTATAATCTAGATTTTCTAGTCCATGTTATTCACTAGGTGTGTTTTCCTTCTGTTATCCCTGTTCCTCTAGAAAAGCTTCCAGGGGGGAACTAAGAGATAACTCAATGCCCACATCAAAGGACTAAAGGGAGAAGCTGAGGGTCCAGTGTCAGGATGGTGAATTTTGGGAGACTTGAGTTAGTGCTATAGTTCTAGCCACCTCACCTCATGTGGGGACTCTTACTTTATTGCTAATTTGGGGGATGTGGGTTTATTTATTTATTATTGATTGATTGACAGCCAGGCTGGAGTGCAGTGGCACAGTCATGGCTCACTGGAGCCTTGAAATCCTAGGCTCAAGTAATCCTCCCACCTCAGCCTCCCGAGTAGCTGGGACTCAAGGCTCACACCACCACACCTGGGCAATGACCACATCTGGGCAATGAAACACTTTTTTGTGTGTGTGGAGAAGGGATCTTGCCAGGTTGCCAAGGCTGGTCGTGAACTCCTGGGTTTAAGTGATCCTTCTGTTTCAGCCTCCCAAAGTGCTGGGATTACAGGCATGAGCCACTGGACCTGGTAGATGCAGATTTATTTTCAAGGGAGCCTGTAGGCTTATTTCAAACAAAAGTAGGAAGTTTTAAAGCAGGCAATTAAGAAAAAGTGGTGTGGAATAGAAAAATCTTGATTCTCCCATCCACATTCACTTGGGTATGCCCACATGCAGTAAAAGATTCCTGAAGGTACAAGTCTTTCAGATTCAATGTAATTGCACTGAAACAAATTACTAGAACTATGGTTTTTCGCATGGTGTGTTAATGATGATTCTTATAACACTAATAATTTTATATACTTTCACATTTATAATAAATGCTGTCTCATGGGATTCTCACAATATACTCTGAAATAGGTATTATTATTCTCATTTTGTAGGTGAAGAAGCTGGTATTCAAAATAGTTTAGTGATTTGTTCAATGTCACATGATTAGATAGTGTCAAAGTTCCATATGAGCCCAGATTTATGACTTTAGATCTTTCTGCTATATACCACTATCTTTGCTAGTGTCTGGAAGCCAGTTATAAAGATTATCCTTCATGTGATCCACACCACAGTGAATGTTTGGCTCTCTGTGCATTTATATGCTGTTGTGATCTGAATTACCAAACAATTAATAACTGGATTCTTGACCATTACAGGTGGAAACAGACAGTTGTTTAAAGTACAAAATCATGAACATGTTTTCCACCAGATCTTCCTCTCTTCCCAGCCTCACCCACAATCCAAACAGAAATTTACCTGTTGTATGTAGATACTCATACAATAAGAATTTCTATGATATCTTTCCATGAGGAAAGATAAAATGAGGACTTTATTGAATGCATTAAAGTGGTGCACTTGAGATGATATATTTAGAAGACACTGCTTTGAATAAATAAGATAAATTAGTGGCCACAAAATGTTTCAAACGCAAGCCTTAATTAACTTTGTAAGTCTAAGCAATGTAAGCCAATTGGGCCAATAATAATTAGATCCTTATTTATTTCCTTCCTTCCTTCCTTCCTTCCTTCCTTCCTTCCTTCCTTCCTTCCTTCCTTCCTTCCTTCCTTCCTTCCTTCCCTCCTTCTTTTTTTGAGATGGGGTCTTGCTCTGTCACCCAGGCGGGAGTATAGTGGGCTCACTATAATCTCCGCTTCCCAGAGTCAAGTGATTCTCCTGCCTCAGCCTCCGGAGTAGCTAGGACTACAGGCATGTGCCACCATGCCTGGCTAAGTTTTTATATTTTTAGTAGAGATGAGGTTTCACTGATGGTCTCAATCTCCTGACCTTGTGATATGCCCACCTCAGCCTCCCAAAGTGCTGGGATTACAGGCATGAGCCACTGCGTCTGGCCAATTAGATCGTTATTTCTTAGAGTAGATCTTAGGGATAAATAAGCCAGTAACAACTAAAGCATGAGCTTTGACGTGTAGACTTGAGGGATAGGATTTGGTAAAGAGAAGATAACTTGTCTGACAATAGTGTGAATGTGAGCTGGGTGGGGCACTGGGTAGAAGAGGAGAGAGAAAGAACACCAAAAAGAATGGAGGTTGGGTCTCTGGGAGAGCCTGCTGATGCTGGCATATTGTTTAGTTGACACTCTGGGAGTCAAACTGACCTCTTGGAGTTCCCCCAGCCGTGAACCTTGGTTGGGGTCTAGGGAGGTCAAATTGTGGTCCAAGACAGATTTGTATCTCTAGCCACATCCATGCAGTGGGGAGCCTGCTAGAACCTTAGAAAGAGTGTCCTGTGCTGGAACTAAGAGGGGAGAACGTGGGGCTGGTTGTTGGTACCAATTCTGTCTGTGGCAGCCAATAAATAGGCCTCTTTCCTTTATTTCTTCCCCTCTGCCCCACCTTATTTTAAACTTATCTAGAATTGAGTCAATTCAATGGAACTATGTAGGTGGATTAGTAAGGAATTCATGGATTCTTCTGGCTATCTTAGTGGTACCTGGACAGACTCAGACAATAGAAAGTGACTAACCCCAATGTACACAAGAGGCCCCTGGGATCTCTCTTTCTCTCTTTTTAAAGCAATCTGGTGATTTTAATGTATGTAAATCTACTTTAATAAAAAATAATTATTAATGTTTTGAAGGCTTCAATGGGAGGTTATATCTTATAACATAGACAAAATAAAAAGAAACAAGTGAAAACATTTGAAAAATGAGAAATCCAGGAGCTGTAATATGTGAATAATACAATAGTAGATGCAGAATGCAAAGACAGAATATAAAGAGAAGTGATGATTACAGCAAGGGAAAAATAAAGAATATGGCTTCATTCTCCTTTAAGGAATAATGTGCATCTCCGGATATAAAGTATTTTCTGAGTCTTATGCTGGCTGGGTGGCTTGCTGAATGAATGCATATATACTTATATGCATACATACACAGAAGACACAAACCTAAGCATGATCTGGTAAATGATGCAAATCCAAATTAAAAAATGAAATCTTATAATGTTCTATGTAAAAAGAGCATATTACATGGGAAGAGAAGGAAGAAAATTTTTTCTACCCTGTGGTCTCAGTGTAGCTTTATTGAAAATTAAGTCACAAATTACAACACTCATTGGGGAAGATTTGCTTTCCTCTCAATTACAGTTAATAGAAGAAAATTAATGTAGCAATTAATGTGGCTGCTCTTACAGCCAAATGTAATATGTGGCCTTTATTAAGGGCCACAGCTTAATAAAGGTTTGCTATTCCTGTGTTTAAACTCTTGGGCCATAACTTACATAAGAAACACACAAAAATAGATTACTTAACATTTTAAAGGTTCTAGTTATTTTTACATATTTTCACACATGCCATATTTATTGAAAAGGACAGGAATCCATTGAATTTTACAGTGTATTAAACTTCATCTAATTTGAACTAAGAAAAGACTGGCAAAATAAATGACCAACTTCTGAAACAGAAATTACTATTTGATTAGTGCCATTACAGAGCTGCTGGCGTTTTATCATGTTCTTTAAAAAAATTGTAATAAGAACACTTAATATGAGATCAATCCTCTTAACAAATTTTTCAGTGTACACTACATTATTGTTGCCTCTAGATTCTGTCGGCCCTCTTGAGCACATCCCAAAGGCAGACCTCTGGCCACAAGGTGCAGGGCAAAGGAGACAGCCCTGGTCTCTGCGACTGTTATGGAAAGGGGTGGTGACTCCAGCTTTCCACTGACCCACTGTGGGGCTACAGGTACCAGATGTAAAACTACCTAATAGCTTATATATGGGTAGGTGCTGTTCCCACCTTTTATTTACTTCTTCTCCTTTCTAAAATATTTACTTCATTTTAATAGCAAATTAAACACAAATACATGATGCCATTCTCACTGGGAAAATTTTATAAAGTACAGATAAAACTACAATGAACCTCTCTTGCGCCCTTGACCCAGACGCATCCTCAGAGGTCATCTCTGTTTTTGGTTTGGTGAATATCTTTCCAATTCACCATCCTCTTTGAACTTTCTACTCTTACTTGTATCTCTGGTTTCTGTTATGATGAGATTTTTATTTCATTACTTCGCAAGAAGCTTCCTGTTAGTTTGCTCTTCTCAGTATGCCATGGAATCTGTATACAAGTGATGTCCAGTTCCTCAATCCAAGCTCAGGTGTCTGAATACCCTTTCCCAGCGCCCTTGCTTGTTTAAGAGACAGCATGAGAAAAAGACCAGCTGTGTCGCCCCTTCTTCCTGGCCAGATGATGCTGGTTGACTCCCTTACCTTGTGGACTGTGACTTTGGAAAGGAAGAAGTGTACCCTTCATGGAATGGTTTTATATCTCTTCTGAACCCAAAGCATCTTGTAAAATGGAGTTCATGTTCACAAGGGTTTGGAGCACTGGACCAGGGTCAAGAGACCTGGTTTGGTCCTCCCTCTGCAAGGGTTGGGCTATTTGATTATGGGAAAGTCTTGCTTAACCACTGTGGTCTTTATCTGTAAAGCAAACTAAATAATGTCTAAGTGTCCTCACTTGCAAAATGGGGATAGCATCTGATTCATGGGATTGCTGTGAGGATTAAATATGATAGTGGGGATATATTGCTTAGGACAAAGCCCAGCACATAGTAATTACCTGTAAATATCAGCTGTTATTATTTTTCTGCTCTGTTTCCATGTTTCTTTGTTCTTAATTTAACATCCTCTCCAAAAATTAATATGGGGTCCTGTGACCCTCTGGGGTGACTAGCCAGGCGACCTCTACTATTTTTTGGAGGGCTGGAGCTTATTATATTTGGCAATAAAGGCAGTTTTCATTAAAGGAGCTAGGGGCCACTTACTGAGTGATCATTCATCTGGATTTGTACCATTATGTTATGGAGGTTTGACAATCTGTGGCAAATTCCTTTGACATGTGTATCTATGGCAGTGTTTCAGCAAACACTGTCCTAATTAAATAATCATAGGGCGGTTCAATCTAAATTGAGTGGTGCTGCTGCATGCAGAAAATTTTTGTTTGCAATACTTGAGTCATCTCCGTTTAAATTAAATCTGTTAAGATTATCTGTCTACAGCCATTTTTCAAACTCCTAACCTCGTGATCTGCCTGCCTCGGCCTCCCAAATTGCTGGGATTACAGGTGTGAACCACCGCGCCCGGCCTCTAACCATTTTTCAATCAAATGTGCCGAAATGACCACAGTGCTCTGCAGGGCATCTTTCCGTTACGAGTTTGCGTGTCTTTAATGTCTGTGTGTTAATCATTTTCAGATAGTGTTTGTGCTGTTTTCCACCACTGCCTTCTATAGCAGTTACTGCTGATTTGCAGGGTGCTGAGGCAGGCTTATGAGGTTGACATAAAAAGTGGGATCGAAGATCATGAGGTTATTGTTGAGGTTTAACAAACAATGTTGGTCCATGTTGTTGACCAATAGGTCACCAATAAAAAAAGCAGTGTCAGGGAGAAGCGATTCTTGTGTTAGCTGTTTGTCAGACACAGAGGGGTTCCAGGAATGTACCGTAACAAGCAGATGGTGCAACTCGGTGGTGGACAAGTTGTTGACTCAGGTATTCTGGCTCTTTTCAGAGACATTGAGAGTCAGTGGCAAGACTAATAAAAGTAAGACCAAATAGAATTTCCCTCTCCCTTGCACCTTAAAGTCACCTCCTCTCTTGGAGCAGAGCAAGTGGATTTGGTCAAGTACTTTGTGGTGGATGGTGGGGAGAGGAAGCAGTCCTTTCTTTTTTCTCAGTGATTCAAATTAGAATAACAAATTGGCCAGGTGCGGTGGCTCACACCTGTAATCCCAGCACTTTGGGTTGCCGAGGCAGGCGGATCATGACGTCAGGAGATGGAGACAATCCTGGCTAACACGGTGAAACCCCATCTCTACTAAAAATACAAAAAAAATTAGCCGAGTGTGGTGGTGGACGCCTGTAGTCCCAGCTACTCGGGAGGCTGAGGCAGGAGAATGGCGTGAACCTGGGGGGCGGAGCTTGCAGTGAGCCCAGATGGCGCCGCTGCACTCCAGCCTGGGCTACAGAGCGAGGCTCTGTCTCAGAAAAAAAAAAAAAAAAAAAAGAAAAGAAAATTGAAGGCCACTTGGGGCTGTGGTCTCTGAGGGCTCTAAGTTCCTTATAGATATGCAATGTTGTACTTTCATGACAGTAAAAGAACACAGCAGGGATAAGGGGGTAGGTCTGTGACTTTATGCTAAAGTGCAAAGAAAAAGAAATATTCTGAGTGTTCCCATAGGTAAGTATCTGGAGTGACATTCTATTCTAGTTCATTTGCGGTAATTATAGCCCCAGCCAGGACACAGCCCTAACATTAGAGCATCCCTGATCTTTTGTTCTCTTGACAGAGCACCCAACCCAACTCATCCACAGTCCTTACAGATTTCTTGCTAAGTGAAAATTCATGTAGCATTATAATCCATTAATTTGCTACTGCAGAGCCAGCTCTGACAAGGAGATAACTGCTCCAGATGCCAAAGACTGAAAGATTGTTGTTTGAAAAGTTTATTGGGTAATGAAATAGAAAAGCATCTCAAATACCAGATGCACAAGGTAATGTTTTGTCTGATTGTCATCGTTAACTCCTGCTAGGGCTATAGCTGGAATGTTAGTGGGAATGTAGGAGGAAGAAACAGATTAGGGAAGAAACCATGGCTTTGCCACAGAAACTTGTTTGGTAAGGCTAAATTTGAGTCTAAAGATGGGTATTCTTTCATTGACATACAGTTATATTGATTTATAGATCATATATATGATTTATACATTGCTTTTTTTAACCATTAAAGCTTAATGAATGAAGCAGTTCAATACAGGTCAACATGTATATAGTAGGAATATAAACACAAAAGTACCAGATGGAAATATGCATCAAACAGCAAACAGTCAATAAAAAGTAATTTGGTTTTTTAAAAAGGGGAAGAAGGGACAATATGATTATGAGTGTTGAGAGTGGCATAGGCAACAAGTGTGTGTATATAATCTATTTTTCCCTCTTTAGATATATACTACACATTTTATTTAAACAGGGGTGTCCAATCTTTTGGCTTCCCTGGGCCACACTGGAAGAATAATTGTCTTGGGCCACACATAATATACCTAATGATAGCTGATGAGCTAAAAAAAAAAAAAAAAAATTGGAAAACAAATCATAATGTTTTAAGAAAGTTTATGAATTCGTGTGGGGCTGCATTCAAAGCCATTCGGGGCTGCAGGTGGGACAAGCTTGTTTTAAAACTAGCAATGGTATTCTTTTTACATAAGTATTTTCTAAACTTTCTCTTGGATTTTATGGGCATATTATAAGAACAACTGTGTACAAAGTTTACAAAGATCTGATTTGGAAACACAGCACAACTGTGAGGCAGGCAGGAATGATCTCATTATCCCTACGTTAGAAAGAAGAAAACAGATGCTTGGAGAGCGATTTGTTTATGGTCATCAAGCTCTGACTTAAGATTTTATTCTTCCATATATTTCAGGAATAATGTCCCACTTCTTAACTTTCTCTTTTTCACTTTGTTTTCACCTTTTCTTTTAGTTAAAGGCCAAGGAACAACCTTTCCTGGGCTGCTGTCACTGACATTTACACCCTTGATTTTAATGTCTTAGGGACTAAATGCTCTTTGGTGAGATGCTATTCAGGTTTTCTTTATTTCAAAGAAGAGTCATTTTTCTTCATCCAGTCATTGTTATTGGAGTAGTTTGATAGAAAAAAACGCTAGACTGGTCATCAAAAGAGCGGGCTTCTTATTTAGATTCCACAACTCCCCCACCCTGAGTTCCTGAGCAAGTTATTTCTCTCTTAGTCTCCGTGTCTCCATTCATAAAAGGAGGTAGTTAAATAGGATGAGCTCTAAATTAAAATTAGGGAGAAAAAATTTAAAATGTGATGAAAAAATAATTAGCATACCTGATTAAAACATAATTAGAACATGCAAGGAATAGATGAAACCAATGAAACAAACCAAAAACTTAAGAGTAAAAAAGAACATAAGTATAGATTAAAAACTTATAGATAATCCTATCTATTATCTATTATCTATTATCAGGTGTAGTGGCTCACGCCTGTAATCCTGCCACTTTGGGAGGCAGAGGCAGGTGGATCGCCTGAGGTCAGGAGTTTGAGACCAGCCTGGCCAACATGGCAAGCCCCATCTCTACAAAAATTAGGTGGGCATGGTGGCAAGTGCCTGTAATCCCAGCTACTCGGGAGGCTGAGGCAGAATTGCTTGAACCTGGGGGACCGAGGTTGCAGGGAGCCAAGATCGCGCTGCTTCATTCCAGCCTGGGTCTAAGAGTGAAACTCCGTCTCAAAAACACCAGCAACAACAACAAAAACTTATAGATAAAATGTAAATAAAAAGAGAAAGAGGATTAAAAACAAGTAACATACAAAGTGAAGTTCAGAAATTTAAGCATAAAATATTCGAAGAATAAGGAAAGTGAAGTATGAAGAATTCAAAGTCACAAAGAAGTAGGAATTGACGGCTATCAAATAAGAGACAAAGCAAAAGCAAGTACAAAACAGTAAATAGCTAAGCCAAAAGAAATCAGAAGACATGTATTAAAAATAAGTGTTAGTAAATAAGTAGTAATAAATTTTTAAATCTCAACCTAAGACTAAGAGACAATAAAAAAGATGGTAAAAATAAATGTTTGAAAATGACAAATCAGAAGGGGGTAAACATGAAAAAATAAAAATAGTTAAAAGCAATATAAGTAGAGCAAAGTATATGAAAAT